GAAAACCAACGGTTACGATAGTTTTTGCGGAAGTCGATCGTGAAACGAAGAAAAACCTATCCTCGGCAGATCCCTACCGAAAAAATGTTCGCCCGCCCCTGGTATACGCGAACCGCGCTCTCGTGTTGTCCTCTTTGTCCGACCATTAACGGACCCTCTAAGAGTTTTAGAGCGTTCGAGCTCTCGTACCATAACAATAATATACCATTAAACGTCGCTATATTACCGCACACCGTTTCGGTACGGTGCGTACTTTCGTTGTCGAATAACGGAATACACCCGTCACGTTAACGGCGGAGATTTATCGGGGAGTCGTCGCGTCAATATTATTTCTTTTCGGGAAACGCGGAAACGGCGGGCGCGCCGCTCTGTGCCGCGATTAAGGCTCACGACCCCCGATCGATCAGCGGCGGCTTATCAAGGGCGTACTTCGCGACGCGCGGGACTGCAGGCACCGTAATACCGCCGTTACGAATATTGTTTTCAAATAGTGTAACGCGAGGTTCGAACCGGATTTACTTTCGTATAATCGTCGGTTTAAGCGCGAACGAACAACGTAATGTTATTATTATATTGTCTGCCTACCCGAACGTTTTTTTTATGTAGCCGCGGAAATACGAACGCGTTCAACGTCACGACAACAGCTATCCGTTACCGTCGTCAAACTATGGCGACGGTGTCTATGTTGGAAATTCAATTACAACCGTCCCAATCGAGAGTTGTACGAGTCCGCGATAAAAGAGCGGATTCGGAAATTCTTCACGGGGGTAGGTGCGGGGCGCAGAGCAGGATTTACGAAAAAGCTATTTTACGTAAGCTTTATGTATAGCTGGCCTAAAGGCTCCAGAAGGGTAAAAGGATTCGGGAGAATATTTCCCCGTCGATCCGCGCATGTTGTAGTAGCGCGCTCGGGAATTTTCGACGGGAGGTGATGTATAGCCGCGAACAAATCGTTAGGATTGTTTTCCACTCTGTCCGTTTAATTATGGTGAATTCGAAAATCGGATACGAAAATGAGCCAATTTTCTCGGCGACTTGGCTGAAATTTAATACGGATAATATTATTTATTCGAAATGCGCACGTGTGAATTGTATTATAGGTGTAATTAAACTGCTGAAAGTAATGAGGATTGTTATCATTTAAGCTATGGTGTGATTAATGTTAACAATGGTAATTCATTTTTAGGAGTTATGTTATGAAATCGATACAACTACGTTGCCGAACAAAAAAAAAAAAAAAACATTTCATTGGCTCGATAATTGACATTACAATATTATTCATATTATAGTATAATGTAATTAACAATCGATGATTAATGAACAAAGTTCGAGTTATCATATTGATTAACATAATTGGACGTGTACGCATAACACGATGCAACAGTTTATAATTTTATGATTTATGTAACAAATAAACTTATGTACGTTCCTATATTATTATATATATATATAAAAAAAAAACTATACCGTTCGGGTATAGTCTTGCCAAAATATTTTATGACGTGATATTATGTCAATTAGTTAATTAGAAAAAAAAAAAAAACAACCCAAAGTTTAAAGACTTGATACTTGCTGATGGGCTATGCCGCTGTTATAGGCTGTGAATCGGGAAAACGGGTACACAAGTTACTTAATTTATATCTGTACGAAACGATAAACCATTGTTAACGAAAAACGGTTCTGAGTCAAGTGCGGTTGTACAGTAGCCGTAATTTGTACCTACGATTTTCTTCGAAATTTGATTTTAAAACGCTTATAAACAAATTGGGGGCGGGGTAAACCACTAAATCATCTTTCGTACACCACACTTCCTGTGAAGTGTACATCCGTGTACTTTCATGTAACTGCTTGTACTTTCATATACTTATAAATATAACTTAATGTACCATCCGATTTGAGCGAAAGAAATATATAACGGTATTTTAAACCTAGTCGATACAAGTTTTGCACATGATTTAACAATAAATATTTAATTCATTTATATCAATGCTTACTGCATTTTATGTAGGCGTTCTCATCTGATAAGATAGTCAAATTACAATTTTAACAACAAATAGATATTTCGAATTTTCAACATAACTGAATAAGAAAGTAAAATTATTATGTATGAATGATAATAATAATACGGGTAGAATACTTAGAATTAAATTTACGAACGATAATAATAATTGAGACGTCCGTATTTTTAAAATCATTAATATTATTATTTTCGATCAAATCGTATTCGCAATTCGTTTCGTATGATTTTTATTTAATTGCTGTGTTTCGTAGGTTCTTTGTGAATTGGACATTTATTGTTATATTAGCATGGGGTTTGCGTGTCTAACTATTCGAGTGTATAGGTACTTGTCTTACATTATTTTGGCGTGTACATATTAATGCGGATTAAGTATATATAGTGGCGGTCCGCTTCTTCGCAGGGCAAAAACTTTCTACCGGTCTGATTTTGCGTATACACCGATAGATAGCCGGTAGGTACCTACCTAATCGAATTCCCTATAGTTATACGAATGGGGTTACGTAATTTCAACAGGCGGATTTTAGTTGGGAAATTCAAATGTACAAACTTTCAAATAACAAGAATATCGAGGGAGAACTTTTAAACATGAAGGTATTTTTGATTCCGAGTGTTTTACTAAGTGGATGTTATTTATTTTTGTTTTTTGTATAGGTACAATTTTCGATAAGTAAAAATGCTTTAATATTTTCACGTCATACACTAAAGTACTAACTATATGAGATTTTTGTTGATGGTACTTTGACATTTTTTTTTTTTCTTAATGGGGCGAATTGTCTATAGAAAATTACTAATATAAAAACGTATAATGAATTGAAATTCAACGTTAATTAGAATAATGAAAATGTATTTATTTACGCGGCTAGTAATAATTGATTGGCATATGTGTAAAATCTGGAAGGGAAAGGAGAAGAAACGAATATATGATTATTCAGTGTTTGCAGTTTTTGAAAAACGTCGCGCACAATAATCTACGTGATTAACCTGATTTTTTTCAAATGAGAGTTTTTGGTTTCTGAAAAATTGTATTGTTTGTTTATTTAATTTGAATATGTTCGATCAGTCGAAGAAAAATATCGAATAAATTACCACGTGTATACAACGTATATACGTATATACGTAGATTTTAATAAAACAATTAGGTACATTTCAATTTTTAATTAGTGAAGTGTATACTATGTTTAAACAAAATGGATTTTATCTATTTAAGTGTTAACGCATCATTGCGTTTTTTTTTTTTTTTTTTTATATATATTATATATCTATATACCTTCTCTTCTGCTGGTCGTCAATCTTTCGATCGGTTGCAATCAGCTAGTGAAAACGTGTAGAAAACACGAAAAAAAATATAGAAGAAAACGTATTCGTATACGGCAAAAGAAAGACAACATTTTCCTATACAATTATACTATACGTATGCTTAATAATTATTTTATGCGCGTGCGTGAAACTTGAAAACTGTCAATTTAATTATTATCAAATACCACGTAATATCTAATAATCGTTGATCTGTCTCCCGTACTGTATTCTGAGTACATTACAAATGTAGTATTCATCTTTATGTTGTTATTATTACTATCTGCTTAGTGATATTTTAATGTACATATAACATGAAATTATTAAAACTTGTATAAGTTATAACAGTAATAATAAAAATAAGAAAACTGTTTAAAAAATGCCCAAAAATTGATGTATAAAAGAAGCAAGTCGATAATTGTCTCGATTCAATGCATACAATTATATACTAAATCCGTCTAGAATAAAATGTCGCGCGAAAAACGTTTTTGTGTACGGAAAATTAAATTTTCTTACATGTTTTAGATTTCGAGTGAATCGAGAGATCTATTGGTTTTACTAATTGCTACGATGTGTATTTTTTTTTATGTGAAATTCTTATTTCTATTCGAGATAATGAGGAAAAACTGGTTCTATAAGTTAAAAAAGATAAAATGATAATAAATAAGGTTATCATTGGCAACCGGTTTTATTTAATTTTTATTATAATTAAGTTTTAATTCTTTTAAACTTTTTTAAACAATCGTTGTTGTCGTGAAAACGCGCATTGTTGAAAAAGCAATACTATTGACCGAGTCCCATTCAGAATCGTTTTTCGTTGATTAATGATAATGATTAATAGTTGCGTACAGATATAAATTAAATTTCCCTCTATGTTCTACCTTCCCAACTTCTCAACCGCAACATTGGTCACACCCATCTCCAGTATCTAGGTCTTTCTTAGATTCTGAGTGGAGCCAGAATTATATTGATTTTATAATGATGTTTATTTTTTTCTCTGATAACTTTTTTATCAGCAATTTTACTCCAATTTACAATAATAACACCGTTTTTGAAAGTTGGTGTAGTACTTTATGGAGGTTATTTTTTTAATTTGTCAGGAGTTTTCTCAAAAACTGAAATAAACTGAGAAAAAACATGATGAAAACGTAGGAAAAACGGGAAAATAGAAACAACATTAAACAAATATTATTAAAGAAAATATGTAATTATTTTTCCATTATATGACATATATTGTCATATATTGCCTATATATTGTTAACAAAGCAACACTGTTAATCGAACTCTGCTCAGCCTCGTTTTTCGTTACCAATGGTTAATAGTTGAGTACAGATATAGATTAAATTTCCCCTCTAAATTCCCAACTTCTCATTCACAACAGTAGCCCACCCACGCGCGAAGTATGTCCGTATTTTTTATTCTTATGCTGCAGCTCTTCGATGCCTTTTCGTAAAAAAAGGTTCGATACATTTTCATTCCCATATCTTCTTAAGAATCGCGGTATGTATGCTATGATTGAACATTCCTTTTCCAATTTTTCCAATTCGCGTATCCATACTGTTACAATAAAACGCTTACGCTCATCATAGTGAAATACAAACAGTACACAATTATTTTTACTAATGATAAATGAAATTTATGGAAAATATTTTACAATTACATGTAGCTGATTACATCTTCTTGCAAGATGGCCGAAATGGATGGTACTTCAAGAAATCATAAAAAGGTAACGCAAAATCCGTAGTTATGTATATTAGACAATTATTATGGTTATTGTTTTAATATTTTCAGGACGATATAATGCGAATCAGAAATTATACATTTCCTAGTATACTAATGGAAATATTGGAAATAGACCGATACATAGTAAACTGTCATGATGCAGTATGTACCCAGTTATAATATGATTAACTTATGAGTCACTTTTGAATGTTGGTTATTATAAATAATGTTGTATTCTTGTTGTTGTAGATTTTGGAAAACCCCAGTAATGTTATGGACATAAATATCGCCAATATGTTAGATGATTATATTGTTTATAATTTTTTACAAGGGATGGTGAAGGGGTAATAATTTTAATTATAATTATAATTTATACAAGTATTTATGTACACCTTTGATAATGTATTGTAAAAGATTTATTTTGATCGTTACAATAAAAGCTTTCGGGCGGTTTGATAAAAAAAAAAAAAAAAAAAAAAAAAATTATAATTTACATTCGTGTAAACTAATTTAAATCATGTACTTTGATATCGTTATAGAAGAAAGAGTGTAGAGTTTGCAATGGATTTACTTCGGGTATTTAATTTTTACCAAGAGAAGCAGTTGTTGTATAACAACGAGGTGAAGAGGGATTTAATTAACAAGGTAAATATCCAAATAGACACGCGTCGTGTTATGTGTGTATAGTGTACAGTAAACTTGTAATGTAAAACAATTATTATTGTCATTTATCTTTGTAGTTTATGACATTCAATTTGTACATAAGTTCAATATACTTATAGTTCAGTCATAAAAACGATCTTTATCGTAATTTTAACAATTTTTTTTCGCGTATTCTTTTACTTATTAGTCTTATTTGTCATGATTTCGTAATTAAATTAAACAAGACGATGAAATATGAAATTAATTTAGTATTCATGTTTATACTAATTAATTAATTAATAAAGCAAATATAATTACTTTTGATATCTTCTTATATATTTTATAAAAAAAGGCAATGGTTGTGGGTTTATAGAATCAAAAACTATTCGACTGTTTGCGTTGAAAATTCCACGGCTTTTTTATTATTACTTCTAGTAGTGTTTGAGTGATTGGAATGGGAAATCCAACCTCCAAAGTGAGACGCAAACAGAAAATTTCTCCTTAAAATACGAAAATCTAGTTTTTTTCTTTTCTTAATTTTGATACCAATTGGTTGTATGGAGAAAAAATGTTTATTCTTTAATTATAGTCAATAATATTGTTTTCATGGGGGGATGTGTCTTAAATATAATAATAAGTACTTACTAATTTTACTTTATAATTTTTCTAGGCCCGAAATGATTTCTCTAGAATGGATAAAAATGTGTTTGCGAAACAATTTTGGGTCTTCAAAATATTCACACCGTATACGATTGACTATAAAAAGATTTGGTGTAGTTATATATTTGCTCCCAGATATTTGTTAAGACTATTTGGTATGCATAACAATACAGATAAATATTTTTTTTTTTAAATTTTTACTCCACGCTTGACATTTAAAACAAATGCTTGTTGATTTTTAAATATACGGTGCTAACTAGGTAGGTATTACACCCATCACACTGTGCTTTCATCACTTCTCATTGGCAGAGCTATACGTATACCTATAATATATTTATCTCTATATGTGTCTATAAAAGACAATTCAAATCGAGTGGGAATTCAACTTTGAGAATACTTTATTTTATTTATCATCGGGGTATTATTAACCAGCGGTGTTCCCCCCCACAGGGTATATTACATAATATTATACGCCGTATACTCTCAACATTTTGATGGAATATCATGGATTTACTCTCAAATAGATAAAACAAAATTCGTCATGATTTATAACGCCACTAAAACCGTAGATAAAGGGGTAAATGTTTACACAGCTTTTACATTTGGTAATTGTTGTCGTTAGAGCTGTTTTAGTACGTAGTACAAAATGTTACCTATCTATTTCAGTCGGTCGTAAATACTAGAAATTTCGCAATGTTCTTATAATTTATATTGTTATTATTTTTTTTTTTAAATTTGGATTATTTCAATTTTTGTACAGTTGACATATATTTTCCTATGAATAGTATAGAGTTTTGTTTTGTTTATATCTGCAACTGTCTCAAAAGTCTGTCTGGCGTTCATTTTGAAACTGAGAGAAAAAAAAAAGAAGAAAAACCACCATCGTTGTAAACCCGTTTTACTTTGGTTACATTTAGAATATAAAATGCTCAATATTTCTACAGAAAATTCAATACCCAGTAAAGCGCTTATTGGCTTCATTGTTTTATACCACCATGTTAAGAACAACAATTACAATAATTTACCGCATACCCGTTATTATAAGTTCTGTAATTTTATATCGGGTACCTACCTACTCCAAGCATTTATAATCAATATAATAATTTGATTTTCAGAATATTTACCTCTGTACTATGTATCGGTACCCCGAACTTGGAAAAAAAAAATTAACATGAAATTATTTTGTGATTTTTACTTGGATTTTTTTACGTAAGTACCTAGATGTATAACATTTTTAATTATATTTTTACGTTTCATCATCATATTATGTACAAACAAGTGACGGTGAATTATTAAGGTCTGCAGGCCCTTAAATCCTCGAGAATTTCCTTTGAAATTTTTCGAACGATTAACTAGAGTACCCATCTATAATAGTCGTAGTTTATTAATATATTCAAAAATATGTACATCGTTTATTTTATGTAAAAAGTTTAAATATTAATATACTTATTGTGTTTTTTTAGATTTATCATCGAACGCCGTAAATTGTATTTTTTGGAATTTTATCCAGCTGTACAGTTCGTCGACCTAAGCTGTAATAACGATCAGTTATAGAATAATTTTTACTGGCTATAGTTTTAAATACGCATTAATATACGCAATAGTATACTAAATCATAATCTATTATTTTTAATGACATTTTTGTATTATTGTTGGCATAGTTTTTGGGTTGTAACGCCCCGGTGTTTTATTATTTATACGACCCAAAAGACTTTGCAAACATGTTTAATAATATTTATATGCTCCATTTTTTAATAATTTGTACACAAATTTATAATAATAAAAACGTGCGTTTCATCATTATTATTATTGTTTTTGAAATACTGTGCACCAAAACAAAATCCTAGTCCCGCCACTGCGGTCTTTTTTTTCCCGATATCTCACGGTTACTGTTACACCGGTTTCGTTATGACGCGCAAGGCGTTCAACATTAACTCGATGCGATTGAAAGTGATCCGGTTTGTCATACATTTAGAGCGATAAGCCGGGATAAAATAGGCATACTTCTGGTAGTTCAATATTTCTGTTTTGAAAAAAAAATTCCACTCGGTAAACTTCTCGTGTATACGTTTTGTAGGGAAAATATTTATTTATTTATTTTTTTTTTTTTGCAACACCGTTTATTAAGTAAGGGTTTATTTTGAGAACAACAGGTAAACCTGTCTATAGAAAATCCGAATGTCAGATTAAATGACGGATGGATTTTAAAAATCCAAATCCGTATCAAAAATGTTTAACGTTCTCAAAATCCAATCTCCAAAATGTAAACGACAGCGAACAAATTAAATAGCATCAATAAACGTACAATACACATGTAGTACGAATTAAGTAGAAATTAACATTGAATAACGGACTGAAATGTATGTATTCTATTGCAAGCGTAAATTAATATTATTAAATAGTCGACAATTTATGTTCCAAACGACGGGATTGTTTTACGAAATAAAATAATAGTTGCCGGTTGGTTAAAAAAAAAAAAAAAAAAATATGCAACAAACTAATACAACGTTGTACTATAGATTTTAATGTTTTATTCGCCAAACACAAATCCCGTACGATTTTAGATCAGTGTACAGTCGGTAGCATCACAGAAGATGCTATACGATGTTCCCGATCAAGATAAACGTTTTTGGTGGCCGATCCACAACCGTGATCCCGGCGCTCAGCTGTTTCCTAGAGGGTTTTGAACACTCGAGTACGAAACACCGTCGACAAATGGATTTTTGAAATCCGAACCTTTACAAAAATAGTTTGGGAAATTCAACGTTCCGGGTTGGCCGTTGGAATCCAACGTTTCGAAATCCTGCCTGGTAATTTTATTATTCCGGTAGACGTTAAATTATTATGCGGATTTTGTTTTTACATTATATTGCACGTTGTCGCGCAGTCGTCCGAAATTCGATTTGGTTTTTTCTCTTATAATATTTTTGTACATGTGCTGCATGCATAACGCACAACGGTCCGGCGCTCGTTTTATTTCCGTCGGTCCGGTCCCGCGCTAATTTGACGGTCGAGGGTTTCCGTGTTTGCGCTGTTTTGACCGAGCGGAGGACACTCCCCCCCACCCCCTCAATCACCCCTGTTACCGGCTGGTCGACTTAAAAATGCATGACATATACACCCACGTATTGTTGTGCACCAAGAAAACAATAGGCTTACGATAGTGCTCTACGCAGTCCCCTCCAGCCAGGTTGATTTTTATTGTATACGGTCGCATAAAATGTAGTATTTGAGTATACGTGTACGTTTTCGGAACGGGTGGAAATAATAGAAAAAAAAAAATAAAAAATATATATATATATACGACTGTGTTGTTGCGCTCGAGCGAAATGTTTTACGTAATATTCTATATAGGCAGGTATACTGAAACGGGTCCACGAGTATATTATAATATTGTTTTTTTTTTTTTTAAAATTCAATTACGCAATAAAAACAATGTACGTTAAAACGGGCATTTCTCTAAAACACGAACCAATCTTTAAAAGAGGTTTTTCAAATAGTTTATACATACAGGGTGATTCGTTAGGCGCGTTCACTCTATTTTTAGAGGCAATAAACTACGTGTGTACGCGAGTACTGAGGATTTAGGAAAAAAAAAAAAACCATTTGACCGGTGTCCTGTTGGCGATACGGACTTTAGTTTTTCGAATCTGCATAGAAAATTCCATAAACAGATGGAATGTTAGATAAAATAAAATTTCGGTATTGAAATAGTTTTCGATTTCCGTCAACTCGTCCGCGAGATATTCCACTTAGCGGCGCAGCGCCTGGCGTTTGAATAGTTGCCGCGCGGTACTTTCGCAAAATGTTGTGAAAAATCTGAACACGCGCAAATATCTCCGTTTGAAAATTCCAAAAATCAAAATTTGAATGCACGCGTAATTGACCCCTGAGAATGGGGTGAACGAGCTTACCGAATCGCCCTGTATATTGAGTTAAAATATGGGTTTGACGACGAAATAAATTTAAAAAAAAAAAAAAAATAGACGTAAAGGTAAATAAATATTCTTTCGGGGAGGGACAGAAATTACCTAACTCTCGCTGATATATACGTTTTAATGCGCGTTAGTGTTCCTGGGTCGAATTTCGGAAATGTATGTGTTTATAGAGGACGCGGTCACTGGTCCGAATTCGGCGTTTTCGATTTTTTACAACCGCGCGTGGTTTTCTGCAGTTCGATGTTACATTTTCATTTCAAAAAACTATACGCATAATATTATTTTACCTATATAATAAAATATGTACATTATTTATCCATATTTTTTTTTAGTTTTTTGTTTGCTGTATAAAAATACCTATAATATCGAAATTTTTTACCATATTATTTTATTTCAATGGTTTTTAGATTTAAAACCATTTTATATTGAAAAACGGAATATTTTCTAAACATTCAACATTCCGGGCGCAGCGAGGAATTTATAAATATATATATTTTTTTTTTTAAATTTTTACACGAATGAATTTTTTTTGCCAGAAATCTTACTTCGATTTGCAAATGTAGCTTCTTTGTCAAATGAACATTTTTATCTGTCTGGTGCATTGAGTAAGGCCATTTCCTTAGAAGTTTTCCTAACAATTGGGAAAATCGGGAAAAAACGTCGGAAAGTTTAGGTCCTTTCATTATATTCGATATATCTGTTGTTTCTTTTTTGTTTGTAGTCCGGTTAAAAACAATCGTGGAGACTTGGCATTTTCACAGGATATAAGTAGTAATTGTACATAGAACTATAAGTATACTTATTAGTTATATATACCTTTTCTAGATTTGATAAAATGACAATTAATTAATTCAAGTTTTTGTTTAGTTTAAATTTTATTTTATGTGGACAAATTTGTTAAGATTGAGCAAATCGAGCAAAAATGCACGGACATTTTAAATGAGGTTCAATTGTAATTAGTAGTAAAAAAAAAATGTCGAGCGTTACATAGTAGTTTTTTTTATAGGCTATTTCGAGTTCAAATTTTGACAAAAATCATAAAAATTATAGCATTTAAACATTTGTTTTAATCCATAATTTATGATTTATCAATGTGTACGAATAAAAATTAAATAACCATACGTATCCTACCATCCCGTCTTCTGAGCTATAACAGTGGCACTATAGATTCTCATCAGCATTGTCAGATCGTATTTTTCGAAACACTAACACGGGCGATTATAAACTCTGCCGAAAAGTAATACGGTAAATTCCCCTAATGATAAACTTCGCGTACAATATTTTTAGGACAGAGTAGGATATAATTCGAATATTATTTTTATAACCTATTTTCGCTGAAACTGCTTCGACCTTTCTTATCGTGAGACAATAAAAGTATATTTAATTCATTTTTTCCCATTTTAGTAGTAGCATAACGAAGAAGCTGTTAATTTTTAATTATAATGTGGCTTTTTCTGGAAAAAACCACATTTTACGTATGATTTTATTTATAATTGTACTATAATACATTTAAGGTTAGTAAAAACTGAAACAGCTCCGATTTTTTCATTGCATGTTTGAAAGATGCGTATTTCTCGATTGATATAATATTTAAAACGTTTTTTCCCCTTAAAAGCCTCAGACTCTATTCGAAAAATTGCTTTTTAATTTCAACAAAGGAAAAATCCAACAAACGTCACTCCGTTCAAAACCGTTTATTCGATTACAGTGATTTCTTGTTGTGTACAATATAGTATATATACAAACTAGATTACCCTGTATACCTGACCTCACCGTCTACAACAGTGGTCTACTCAAGAGTGGTATCAACTATTTTTTTTATGAACATTTTTTTTTTTTTTCAAGAACAATTGTAAGACTTTTGTTCGATGCGCATTATTTAATTCACTTTGTGTAAATAATATATTATGTGAAATATTGAAAAGGATAGTTTATTATTTATGTAGGCATTTAACGTTTAGTTAAGGACTGTGGCGAAATAATAATTTTATACCTCGTGAAATTTGACTGTGCACCGGTCTGTTAACTATAAACGTTTATAATTAATTAATTTCGCTGGTTAAATATTCAAAAATAAATATAAATGTCAACATATTTTATCGATTATAATATTTTGCTTCTCGAAAAAATAAAGATAAAATAGGACAAAGGGGCCAGGAAGGACGTGACAATTCTAAAACATAATCGATGAGATAAAATCATATTTTATTATGTTATGTATATTATGATAATATTTTACAAATATTCGTAACTAACGTTTTCAAACTTATTTATTCTACGTCTTGTAGATATTTTTGAAAATTCTATACCACCTTTTCTGAAAAAAAAAAAAAAAATGACCTTTTTATTTTTTTTTTTGTTGATTAAACCGACCATATAGAGTAAACATAAATCAATTAAACAATTTAATAATTATTTTATTTTTAATGTTATTAAGGAGTGTGAATTCAATGCCGTGGCGAACTCAAAATTTTCGAAAAGCATACATTTTGATTACCATCCACCAATCCCACCTTATAGAAAAAATTTCCCCCTCCCTAAACTTTTTTTTTTTTAGATCAAATAAGCGAAAATAAGGTAGAGACGTATCCTCTTAAATTCGGTTTTGGGCCCTTCGAACCGCGTGTGTTATTTAACAATAATATTATTCATTATTATCGTTGGTTATTACCTACTTATCGATTATGTTACCATTTATCATCATTTTTTTGAGTTGTTAAATTTCTCCTCACCTCCCATCTCTTATGAAATTGAACGCTTTCGTCACTATAGGTTAGAAAACGCTGTTCTATATAGTTAATCGTATCGTTTTAATTTATGAATTCATAAATTATTGAACAGGAAGTTTCAGGAAGTTAACATTAAATTCAAAACTGCAGCCGAATTCGTTACCAATATTATTAGAATATAATTATTTGTCACCGGCGTAGAAAAAAAATTGTATAGGTTATTATTATTACATAATGCGCCAGCGTTTATACGTTTTCGTTTAAATACGCGTGGGTACTCTCTATGAATTCTAAATCGACAGGCGGTATGAAAAATTGATTCGAAACGTGGTTCAATACCATTGATATAAACCATGGGAATTAACACCATATATACCTACCTACAATATACATATTCTTTGGGGAGTTAGCCAACGCGCTTTAGTTCTTGTGAAAAGTTTTATCGACATTTTAAAAATATTATGTACCCAGCTTCGGAAAGTTAGAACTTTGCAATTTAGTGTTTGTACGTGCGGGGATACTCCAAGGGAAAACTCGCACCTACACTACTTGTAGTGTTGTTCCACTTGAATATCGTTCTCCTTAAACGTGTGTTTCGTGTAAAAACTAAAAACGTAAACAAACACGTGACGATTATAACGGTCGTTTCGATATTGTTTACTCGTGACGACACTGGCACGCTCCGTCGTCTTTCTATTGTTGTGTTTAGTAAAAAAAAAAAAAAAAAAAAAATTGTTGTCGATTTGTTATCATACAAATTACCGATTTGAATGTGAGATTGTCGTCATCCGAGATAAAAACCTACTAATACACGGTCCTTTGATATCGAATCCAGACGTCGTAAAAGTTCCGTCAGACAAGGAATATTGTCGCGGCCGAGTTCGCCAGCAACTACAATAAGAATTAAGTGACAGTGTCGGTTAATAATGTCGCTCAAGAATACCGCCGCCGGTTCATTGTAGTCGTATCAATCAAACGACATTAAGAGCAAACATCAATTCCATCAGCGTATGTGTTAAA